TTCTCACCTGCACACACATCCTTAGAGTCTAAGGCTTCCTGGTTTTGTGAAGGCACCAGCCTAAGGCAGGGACAGCCAGGCGGGGGTGGGGGGTGGACTTTGCGAGGGACCCCTGTGCTGCCTCCCTCCATGACAAAGCATTTATTTTTGACATTAAAAATGGAATCGTTCATGGCTGGGGGTGGTGGCTCTCGCCTGTAATCCCAACACTTTGGGAGGCCAAGGTGGGCAGATCACCTGAGGTCAGGAGTTCGAGATCAGCCTAACATGGAGAAACCCCTCTCTTAAAAAAAAAAAAAAAGAAAGGAACATTCAATGTATGCACAGGTCAATTAAGAGAAAATTCTGTTAGAATTTAACTGAAATAGATACTGAATAATTTTAAACAGAATCTAAGCAAATGACTTAGCCAAATAGATCCACGAGGATCTGCTTACCGATTACACTTTTTTTTCTTTTTTGAGACAGGGTTTCACTCTTGTTACCCAGGCTGGAGTGCAATGGCACGATCTTGGCGCATGGCAACCTGCAACCGCTGCCTCCCGGGTTCAAGCGATTCTCCTGCCTCAGCCTCCCAAGTATCTGGGACTGCAGGCACCCGCCACTACGCCCGGCTAATTTTTGTATTTTTAGTAGAGACGGGGGTTCACCACGTTGGCAGGGCTGGTCTCGAACACGTCAGGTGATCCGCCTGCCTTAGCCTCCCAAAGTGCTGGGATCACAGGCGTGAGCCTCTGCACTCAGCCCAGATTAAACTTTCATATATTAAGCGGTTCTTGAGGCAATTCCTAATCTTGCCTCTAAGGCTGCTTTGCCAAGAGAATAGGAAACGAGAGACCCGTTTGTAACCCAAGCACGCCCCGCATAAAGTTACGAGACTGCGGAAGAGATGCCACCCAGTGAAGCCCTGCTGGCAGTGGACTCGTACCTTGGGGCCCCTGGTCTCCGTCAGGCCCGTCCAGCCCTGCTCCCGCCGCGCCTTTGTCCCCTCTGTCACCCTGGTTTCCTGTCACAAGGTGTAGACAGACATGGTTAGAGCATCTGTGCAGCCACACCGCAGCCGCATCTGATTGACCTTTGTTAACACACAGGGTGCCCACCTTTTACTGAAGTGGGACCATTAGAAACGTACAGACATCACACATGTAGGGTGCAACGGGGTCTGACCAGAGGGACCCACCTGCACAGTCTCGCGCCGCAGGACGGCTGCAGGTCCCCGACGCAGGGGTAGGCGATGTGGTCCCGTGAGATAATCACACCCAATTCTTATACCCTCCCCGTGTTTGGATGAGTTTAACACAGACACCCACCGCCGTGTGAGAGGTGCCCACGGGACCCAGCACAGCAGCAGGCTGTGCAGGCCGCAGCCATCAGCCCCAGGCTTGGCACAGGGCCCAGGGGTGCTGGGGGCAGCCCCGACATCCCCACAGCCACGAAGCATCCGTCAGAACCTGCTCCTGCTGCTGAGCCGTGCGTGGCTCAGCTCCTCCCTGACCTCTGGCAGCCAGTTTCAGTGGGATTTTAGTTTTGTATAGGCAAAAAATATTTATGCTTATTAAGCAGCTGAGTATTTGTTACTATTTTGTATTCATATTTAAAATATGATTTTCGGCCCATGGGTCATCTAAAGCGTTTTCACACCCTCTGATTGCGTCATTCGAATCTTACGTCTGTGTTTTGCTGTGTGAGGAGAGGAACGTGCTGCCATCTGTTTTTGTTTTTTGTTTTGAGACAGGGTCTCCCTCTGTCGCCGAGGCTGGAGTGCAGTGGCATGAGCGTAGTGCACTGCAGCCTCAGCCTCCTGGACTCCAGGGATCCTCCCGCCTCAGCCTCCTGAGCAGCTCGAATTACAGGTGCGCCACCATGCCCAGCTAATTTTAGAGAGATTGGGTCTCACTGTGTTGCCCAGGCTGGTCTTGAACTTCTGGCCTCAGCACATCCTCTCACCTCGGCCTCCCAAAGTGCTGGGATTCCAGGCCAAGCCACCACGCCCAGCTGTGTCAGCCCTGGCTTTGCGTGCCCTGAAGACACGAGGCTGGATGCATATGGGTCCCTCCAGGATTTGCTCCTGGTAGAGCGAGCCTTTGTCAACACAGGGACCCTGTGAGGCAGGCGGCATCACCGAGGCAGGCGGCATCACTGAGCCGGCCTGTTCTGTCGGACGGTCGACGCCGTAGCACCAGCTTTGTTTTGCTTGGTGTTTGTGTGTCTGTTTCAATCGTGCTGCTTTCTGAAGTGGATGAGAAACGGAGGCGTGATCGGCGGTGCGAACACTGAGGCAGTCACTGTCCACCTGCATGTCCTGCACGGCCGCCGGCAGGAGCGGTGCCCAAGACCTGAGAGCTCTGTGGGCCTCCCCAATGGGGCAGCAGGCTACATTGGCCCCAGTGCCCAGTGCGTCTGGCGTGACTGGCCTGACACCGCAGGCTGACCTGCTGTGCCCTTGGGCAGCGGGAGGCGGTCCTGCCTGGTGCTTCTTTTCCAGGGAGGGGGTGCCAGGCACCATGGTAACAGAGGCTTCTGAGCGAGGACCTGCTGTGGGTCTAGGGGCGCATTTATATTCACATTCAGTTCCCATTGCCAGCTCCGGGCATCTGTGCCCGCTTCACTGATGGTGACCGGAGGCACCAAGCATCTCTCCAGGGAGTGGCTCCTGCCCTACACATGCCCGTCTTCACAGGGTGCGAAGGCACAGCAGTCCCAGAGGACGGACAGCCCACGTGGGTCTGTGTGGCCTCTGCTCACTAATGATGCCACACTGCTGAGAACTGGTAAAAGTGATTAATGTGCTTTTAGAATTTTCTTTCTTCTTTTTTTTTTTTTTTTTTGAGACAGTCTTGCTCTGTTGCCCAGGCTGGAGTGGAGTGCAGTGGTGTGATCTTGGCTTACTGCAACCTCTGCCTCCTGGATTCAGGCAATTCTGCCTCAGGAGTAGCTGGGATTACGGGTGCACGCCGCCACACCTGGCTAATTTTGTATTTTTCGTAGAGACGGTTTCATCATGTTGGCCAGGCTGGTCTCGAACCCCTGACCTCAGGTGATCCACTGCCTCAGCCTCCCAAAGTGCTAGGATTACAGGTGTGAGCCACCGTGCCTGGCCTGAGTTTTATTTTCAAAGTCTTGATGGAGTCCAGGTCCCTCTCTGGAGAAAATCTTACGTTGTCTCTTTTTGAAGACTGTAGTCTCTCATGTGGCATCAGCTAGCCTGGATGGCCTGGGAAGGCCAACACTTAAAGAAGTTTCCAGAGAAACATGAAGCTATTTGATAATTTGGACATACGGACGACAAAATGAATTTGACACTCGAGTGCTGAAAATCTTCAATCTCAGTCTAAGTGACATAGTCTCACTGTGGAATGCTGCCACCTTGCTAAATAGTTCAATTCCGTCTCAGAGATAAAGGCAGGAACCCAGAGTTAAGTCTCCTGTAGAAACGTTTTCTGACGCTATCTTTGGGAAACAGGAAGTTGTTTGGTCAGTATGGTGGAATCCACTAGAATCATAAGCTTCAAATCCTTCACTTGGGCTGAAAGGCAGCTGACTGAATGCCGCAGATGGAAGGCAACTTGAAAATTTTAAAACTGTGGTAGGGGTTCGTGTCCAGCAGTTAACACAGTGGTGTGTTTTCCGTGCTGAGACTCCCCAGCTTACACCTGGCACCCCAGAGCCTTCCCGGCAAGTCAGCACAGCCACGTGTGGGATCAGCAGTCCGGCAGCTAATGTCAGTGATTCCCATCCTCTTTCTAAATTAAGGCTGAGTTCTTTATAGTGTTTAACATGGAAAAAACTTTGAATTTTGTATTTTTGCCTTTTGCAAAACAAATTTTCACATGCTGCCAGTTTTCATGAAGGTGCGTCTCATCAGTAAAAAATGCGACTCTTAATTATTCGTTCCTCACTTTTTTTTTTTTTTTTTTTGTGATTCAGTTTCACACTTGGCCCAGGCTGGAGTGCAATGGCATGATCTCAGCTCACTGCAACCTCCACCTCCCGGGTTCAAGGGATTCTCCTGCCTTAGCCTCCAGAGGAGCTGGGATCACGGGTACCCGCCACTACACCTGGCTAGTTTTGTATTTTTAGTAGACACAGGGTTTTACCATGTTGGCCAGGCTGGTCTTGAACTCCTGACCTCCAGTAATCCACCAGCCTTGGCTCCCAAAGTGCTGGGATTACAGGCGTGAGCCACTGCATCTGGCCATTCCTCACGTTTTTAATCAGCCCCTCCCTGCCAAATACTTTTCTGATGGTATTTGAGAAAAACATCACATTTTAAAAAATGTTCCAGTTCCCACAGGATTACTAAGGAGTTAACTGTGCTAGGCCCCAAAACACGAGGGGCCCACCTTCCCGGAGTTACCACGGAGGACGCATGGCACGCCCCACACCCGGCACCCACAGCAGGTTAGCCCCATGGATTTTTATAGCAGGGTCACTGTGTTGTGGGGTCAGCCACTCACCTCTGGGCCCGGGGTCTCCCAGCTCCCCAGTGGGACCGCGGTATCCGGGGGGTCCTCGAGCGCCAGGGTGACCAATGGAGCCCGGAGGCCCGGGGGGCCCAGGGGGGCCAGCTGGACCGGGCCGGCCAATGGATCCCGGTGCCAAAGGCTTCCTTAGGTGCGCGGCTAACTGTGCAATTTGTTCTTCGGGAAAACAAGGGTGCAGGCGTTTGAGAGAGGGTCATGAAAAGTACCGTTAGGGAAAGAACAGAAGACGCACACAGGGCTGCCCTCCAGAAGGAAGGTTTCCTTCTCATTGATGGAAAATGGTTTCACTGCTTTGGGGTGATAAGTGCCAGAGCTAGAAAGGACCCCCCCAGCCCCTTAGACCCTGAGAAGCCTGAGTGAGAAGGCGAAGCAGGTGGGGGTGTTTGGGGACCTGCCCTGCCAGCCACAGTGGCACACTCAGCTGGTCCTTGTACCCCATGCAGTCAGCAGACTTCAGGAAACCTGCTGCATGTCAGGCATCTGGTTGAATCCAGGGCCGGTGAGTGGGCCACCCTCTAGTGCAGAGGACGGACAGACGCCAAGGCAGAGCGGACCCCCGAGTGCCAATAGGCGGGGATGGGCAGCGCCGGCTGACTTACCACTGATCATCCCCCCACACAGCTCCCTGATGCGCTGCTCGCTGGCCTCCTTCCCCTGGAAGTCACCCCACACATTCGTCAGCATGGGGACGGCAGCTTCTGCCAAACATTCCCACCATCGCCCCACAAAGTCACTTTGTTTAGGAAAAAACACGATCTCAATCCTGTGAGAGCCAGAAAAGCAACGTACCGGAACGCCCGGCTTTCCTGTGATGCCAGGAACACCCTGGATGCCCTGGAGGCCCAGAGGACCAGGGGGGCCAGGGACACCCTCAACACCGCTGGTGCCGTTGGGACCCTGGATGCCTTTGGGGCCCAGCTCCCCTCGACTGCCAGACTGCAGAGAAACAGGAGGAAGGTGGGTCAGGGCAAGCCCAGGAGCCCAGAGCCGCCCCTGCGTGCTTTCCTGGCCGGCACAGAGCCATCTTGCCCAGCCTTGACCAGAGCAAGCATTTTTACCATCCCAGATCTGGGCAGTGCCCTGCAGGGCTGCCTGTTGCCCATCGGTGGGCAGGAAGTCAGCAGGCACCCTCGGATTGCGTCATCGGAGCAGCCGCCCAGCACTCACCTCTCCTTTGGGTCCAACCAGGCCGCTAGGACCCTGTGAAGAGGAAAGTGTGTTTTAACTAAGTGTGTATTGTTGGGTGGGTGGGAGGTAGACAGCTGAAGATAGAATGACGCATCATCCACACACCTGTCAGACAACATCAAAGTGTAGACGGTGGCTCCTTCTGTTCCGCTGCCTACATTTTTACACTGCTGTGATTGTACTGATTCTTTTTAAAAACTTACTTTCAGCTAGGCGCAGTGGCTCACGCCTGTAATCCCAGCACTTTGGGAGGCTGAGGCGGGCGGATCGTAAAGTCAGGAGTTCAAGACCAGCCTGACCAATATGGTGAAACCCTGTCTCTACTAAAAATACAAAAATTAGCCAGGCGTGTTGGCAGGCACCTGTAATTCCAGTTACTTGGGTGGGATGGGGGGGGCGCTGAGGCAGGAAAATCGCTTGAACCCGGGAGGTGGAGGTTGCAGTGAACCAAGATCACGCCCCTGCACTCGAGCCTGGGTGACAGAGTGAGGCCCCGTCTAAATTAAAATTAACACCACAACTTACTTTGGGGAAGAGTGACCCTGGGAGCTGCCCAGTGCTGTGTCTTACACACACGGACTTGGTTTCTCTTCCTCTTACTAGCATGCCTAATGCTGACCTCAGCCTCTCGGTCCTAAAACCCTGGGCCCCTCCAGCTGGGTCCTCAGGAATGACAAGCCCCAGGTGTGTCAACACACAGTCTGCTGGGTTTGAATGTCTCCTCCAAACACATGGGGCAGTTGAACTGCAGTTGAACGCTATTGAGAGGTGGAGCCTTAAGAGGTGCTTAGGTCTTGAGAGCTCTGCCCTCCCGAGCAGCTTCACCCGCGGGCGCCTGGGTCCCAGCGACTCGGGAGGCTGGGGCAGGAGAATCACTTGTACCCAGGAGGCGGAGGTTGCAGTCAGCTGAGATTGTGGCACTCTGCACTCCAGCCTGGGCAACAAAGCAAGACTCTGTCTCAAAAAAAAAAGTTCACTAAATGAAACACAACTGAGGTCATTCACAAACAACTGAGGTCATTTCTCCAGAGGCATAAATGTTGACACTGGGCTGTGGGGGGTCTGCCAGAGACTGGGTCCCTGGGGCTACAGTGTTTCTGTTTCACCCAGACACAAAGGAAAGACTTCATCATAGATTAAAACCCTGGCCTGGGGAAAGCCAGAAGGGTCTTCCTTCTCTGGAACTGGAGACCGCTCCATCTGTTACGTCTGGAAGGAGAAACGTGTCTATGAAGACACTCAACAGGAATTTCATTTTATGCTTCACCTGAGTTTTAGGCCCGTGGAAATGGAGTTTTCTTTAGTTAAAAACAGCTGTGTGCCAGGTGCAGTGGTTCACGCCTGTAATCCCAGCACTTTGGGAGGCCAAGGTGGGCGGATCACCTGAAGTCAGGAGTTTGAGACCAGCCTGGCCAACGTGGTGAAACTCTGTCTCTACTAAAAATAGAAAAATTAGCTGGGTGTGGTGGCAGGTGCTTGAAATCCCAGCTACTCTGGAGGCTGAGGCAGGAGAATCGCTTGAATCCAGGAGGCGGAGGTTGTGGTGAGCCAAGATCGTGCCACTGCACTCCAGCCTGGGCGACAGATCAAGACTCCGTCTCAAAAAAAATAAAATAAAATAAAAATAAACGAAAAACCCAGCTGTGACTACTTCATGCAAAGAACCCACAGATGGGGTGCCCTCTGCAGGGGCGGAGCACTTCTGGGCACCAGGTCAGGCCAGACTCCAGAGCCGCCTCCAGCCTCTGCGAAACCCTGCTGTATCCAAGCCGCCCAGCAGAGCTGATCTTCCACTGGGAGCTGCAGATTTTTACCTTGTCCTCAGAACGGCTTCCCAGCTGCTGGTGACAGTAAGGTCACCTCATCACACTCACCTGTTCTCCTTTATCCCCAGGAAGACCGTCGGAACCTGCAATGCCCTGAAAACAATACACCCCCAAGTTAAAAGAGCGGTTCATGCCTCGGTAGGGGCTTCATGCCTTCAGCTCCTAGCTCTGGAGCCTTGTGGGTGTAATGTCTGTCCTGAGGCTGAGGCCAAGAGCCTTTTATCAGGCCGCACGTCTTTTATCCAGCCACGAAGGCAGCCCAGGCAGGACCCTGCCTTGGGAGACCTGTAGGCGGGGGTGAGGCCACTAAGCGGAAGACATTTGTTTGCATAACGAGGCTTTTCTGCCAAGCAGAACCTGGGGTAGGGGTTGATTGCTGTAGGCCCTCCAGCCGTGGGGAAAGGCCTCATGCCCAGAAGTCAGGGCAGGCACTGCAGGAGGGCAGGGCAGCCACGACCACGACCCCACCCACCCTGATGCTTCTCTGGAGAGAAAAGTGCTTCGAAGAACAGAAATGCATTTCGAATCCGCCTGCAAAGCCCCTGCCCTCTGTCAGTTCTCCAGGACGGCAGGAAACACCTCCTCCCCCTGAGGGTTCCCACTGGTGCCTCCTGGACCAGAAGCAGCTTCTGTTGCACCCAGAGCCATGCAGGGACAACGTGGCTGGCCAGCTGTTTGCACCCAGGAAGGCAGCAGGGGACGCTGGGGCATGCCTGCGGGTTGGGTGCCCAGAGTTGCTGTCGCCGTGCTAAGCAGGAATGACAGGCGCCAGAAAGGGTGACCGATGGACACAGCAGGAGGAGAAAGGAGGGTCAGCGTCTGGAACACACAGCCAGGGCTGGAGCCAGGACGGGCGGAGCCGGGAGAAGCTGTGCAGCTTTGCGGTCATTCCTTCTGACCCGGCCTGTGCCCAGCTCACCTGGTCTCCCTTAGGTCCTGCAGCACCTCCAGGACCCTGGGGGTGGAGAGAAGGCGCTGGATTAGAGGAATTACAGGAATCCCTAAAGTGAGCCTGTCCTGGGCCCAGGAATGGTAAACACCACCTCCATCCTCATCGTCCTGCACAAAGGGCTTCTGTGAAACCCGGGGTCCCAACACAGGCCCAGGGGCCCCACTCCTGTTCACAGCCCTGTGGCTCTGAGTCCCCTCCTGTGGGTATTTCTGCACAGTCCCAGGATAATTCCATCACAGTGGAGTCAAAGATGCAAAAGCTTATCTAACCACCTTCGCACGGGATTGTGAAACTGAAGACATGCCTGGGCGCTGCTATGAATCCCGTAAAAAACGTCTGTTTGCTCTCAGGTCTGCATAAGTGAGAACTTGCCCAAGGGGCAGAAGAGTGTGAGGCTTTCTGGTGAGTTTCGAGCAAAAGGGAAATGCAGCCAGCAGGCCCCGCCCACGCTTGGGACAGGCACAGTGCCCGCAGGGCGGGTGCCAGCCCCGAGATCTCTCGGAGGCCCTGAGGTTGCTGGCATGGACCCCACCCCTGGAATGTCCTGCCTGGCACTAACAAACAGCCTCCTCTCCCCCACGGAGCCGTGGTGTCTGTGGCCCCGCCACTGCCCTGGAATGAAGGGCACCTGCAGCCATGTCACATGTCTGAAAAGGGTTTCTGTCTGCCCAGCAGGGGCAGCCACGGCAGGCACACGAGGTCCCCAGGTATCTGGTGGAGCATGGCTGGGACCAGACCAGACCCACAGGCTCCTCCCCTTGAGCAGGGGCCCTGGGCAGGCCACGCCCCCTTCTGCACTGACCCGCAAGGAGCCACCGCTGCAGCTGCTGCAAGACCAGCAGGAAAAAGCCTCGATGAGACAGAAGCTGCGACTGTTACAGTCACTTGGAACACTGGTGTTCAAACCGATTTTGTAGCAGCGTGACCCTCTGGCAGTGGCGCCTCCGCAGACACTGCTACTCAGGAGCAGGCGTGGTTCTTGGAGCCCCAGCCTCCCCCCATCCTGAGGAATGAGCGCCGACCACGTGCAGGCCCCCGCCAGGCCTCTATGCAGGGCAGGAGGCAGAGCCCCACAGCCGCTGCCCACAGGAACACCACATGGAAGGTCAGAGGGGCCAAAGGCGCCACATTCAGGGCCCTGATACCACTGCCTCCGCCGTGCAGGGGGACACGCCCATGGCCAGATGTCCCACAGGGAGCTGTGAGCGCCCCTCCCTGTCTGCATCCCAAGGGACCATGGTAGGGGGTGGGGGTGGGGCACAGGGGTGATTTCTGCTGAGAGGGCCACTTACCCGGTCGCCCATGTCACCCCGGAGGCCCTGGGGGCCTGGAAGGCCAGGGTCTCCCATGCTGCCCTTCCGGCCCTGCGGAAGGAGGTCCCGGCTTGTCAGTGCCCGTACCCAATGCACCTGGCCCATCTGGGTCACCCCCATGCCAGGCCCTCGCCCCAACATCACGTACCTGGAAGCCTCGGACACCAGGGGCTCCGGGAGGGCCTTGTGGGCCAAGGGCCCCCTGAAAGACAAAGGTGAGGTGAGTAGATGTCTTGGGGTTCGAGGAATCCCAGGGAGCCCGGTTCAGCCTCCCCTCCCGGGTGGATGCAGGAGCCAGTTCTAAGCCACCTGGCTGGGTTGCTGAGGGACAAAGGCAGGGCTACCTCCCAGGGACAGTTTAGGGGATCTCAGAGCTCAGGCGTGCCCTGGACCCAACTTGTCAGGCCAGACTCAGAGCCAGGCACCCATGCCCATGGTCCCCTCAGGACCTGCAGCTGGCGCTGTCATTATCTCAGTGTCCGGAGGCACAAGGCTGGGCTTAGCACAGAGGGCCTGAAAACAGGGCAGCTCTGGCACGGCCCTGACTGTCTCCCAGCAGGCAAGGGACAGGAAGGCGAGGCCCCACCCCTCCCAGCTTCCTCGGCTTTTGTGGGCCAGGCCCATCGAGGCAACCAAATGCCACCCCAGCGTGCTCAGAAACTGGGGCCACCTGCTGATGGTTCCATGCCAACCCCCCACCCAGGGCCACGTCCCTATGCTCACCGCTGAGCCCCTGTGGCCAGCCTCGCCGCGTTCCCCGGGCATGCCAGCGTCTCCCTACAGGGAGGGGAAGAAGGGTGTGAGGGCAGGGTCCGCGCATATGTGGGATGGTGTGAGGTCAGGGGCGCTGCAGATACTCACAGGGACACCAGGCTCTCCGGAGGGGCCGGCCTCACCCAGCTCCCCAGCTCTGCCCTGCAGAGGAAGGAGGACTGTGAGAGCCTGCCCACACCTCTGGCATCAGGGCCCCTACCTCCCCTCCCAGGGAGAAGGCGGCTGCATCACGTACCCGTTCTCCCTTCTCGCCTTTGGAGCCTGTTCGTCCGGGGAGGCCCTGCCAGGAGAGTGCGTGGGGTCAGGGCTGCCTGTCACAGCAGCGTGCACACGGGCAGGTGCTCATGGCCAGACAGTGAGCGCACCCAAAGGGCAGGCCGACTGCTCCCAGCCCTGTCGACCTTAGGTGCGGCTTTCACAGCCTCCCCGGCCTCGGACACAGGAGCCCCTGCTCGGGGCCCACGGGGGTGATGACCCCACGGCACTTGAAGACGGCCATGAACACATTCGCACATGTGCAAACACACGGGCAACCATCCGCAGCGCCCAACGGGCACCAGGGGTTGTGCCAGGCCCTGACGGACACAGGCCCCAACGGACACAGGCCCCAGAACCTCTCACAGGAAGCTGGCCCTACAGTGACCCCCCACCCAGCCCCACAGGGGCCACTGGGCAGACAGAAGCTGTGGTGCCCCAGGCCGGCCCACCCGCTGGGCACTCACTGGCAACCCGTTGGGGCCCTTCTCTCCCGGAGCACCGTTGCGACCAGCCTCTCCCTGCAAGGACAGAGATTGGGGCAGAGAAGGGGAGGCTGAGACCTCGGGAGGCTGAACTCCCCTCTAACCCCTTCCCTCCCTCCCATCACACCCTGAGCCCCATGCCAACCTTCTGGCCATCAAGTCCTGGCACACCATTCCGGCCGTCCTTGCCTGGCATGCCCTGGGGACAAGGGACGAGTAAGGCCCATTGGGCAGCGGGCCACCCCTCCCTCTACAGTCCTGTCCTGGGGGCAGCCTCCTCCTCCATCAGCCTAAAACTGTGGCTGCCCCCAGGCCCTGGCAGTTGGCTGGTTTCATGACCGAGGTGGCCACACCGGTGAGGAGTACAGCAAAGGCTGAGGCCTCATCTACCAGGCGCGCCATGGCACCCTAAGGGAGCCTTGGTTCTGGCCCATTTTGCAGGTGGGAAAACTGAGGTTTGGGAGCTGGGACTCAGGCCAGGCCTGCCTTGTCCACTCTGGACTGGCTTTGGAATCAGGACACAGCCAAGTGCTGGGTGTCCCAAGAGAGGGCACAGCTCCAGGGGCAGAGGCAACACGAGGGGCTGGAGGAGGGTGGGCACAGAGCAGGAAGGAAGGTGCCTACACAGGTGCCCAGGACCCCGGGAGTGCCCCCCTCTCCCCAGCCTGCACAGGTGCCCGGGACCCCGGGAGTGCCCCCCTCTCCCCAGCCTGCACAGGTGCCCGGGACTCCGGGAGTTCCCCGCTCTGTCCAGCCTGCACAGGTGTCTGGGACCCCGGGAGTGCCCCCCTCTCCCCAGCCTGCACAGGTGCCCGGGACCCCGGGAGTGCCCCCCTCTGCCCAGTGGTACTATCCACCCGCCCTCACTTCCCATGCCCTCCATGCAGGCAAACCCAACCTGAGACCCCCTACTCCTGCACATTCCCCAGGCTCCGGGCAAAAGAGAACTGTGCGGGGCTGTGGGGCTGGTCAGGCGTTATTCTGGATCTCAAGGTGGCCACAACAGAGGGCACTGAGCCCCAGCCCTCCTGCGTGTGGTCTGCCACAGCAGAGGGCACTGAGCCCCAGCCCTCCTGAGTGTGGTCTGCCTGTCAGTAGCTGGCCCAGGGGAGAAGCATTCTCTGAGGAGCAGCCATGAGCACTCACCGGCTCTCCACTTGGCCCGGCCACTCCGGGGGTTCCCTTGGGACCAGGTCTGCCCTAGAGGACACACAAGTGACAGAAGCAGTGGCGGTCTCTTCCCAGACGGCCTCACGCACTCCCCAGCCAGCAGCCTAGGGACACCAAGGAGCTGTGCTCCGGGCAGGACAGCAGCAGGGGCCACCCCTCGCCACCACCCTGGGCCTGTGGGTGCGTGGAGAAGGCTGTATTTGGAGGCCAGAAATGCTAGGGCGTGGCATGGGGGCTCCCTGCTGCTCCAGCCGTGAGGGCTCAGTCGAGGGAGGGGACAGTCACTTCAGTTCCTCTCTTGCGATGCTCGACTGTCTCTGGAGGTTATGTTCACTTGCTCCACCCGAGAGCCTTTCTCTGGGGCAGGATCCAAACCCTGGAGCCTGGTCCCTCCACCACCCGACTTGTTGGCCACTCTGCAGGGAGCCACGGAGCTCCCATGTGGGCTCTGGGAGAATGGCTGGGGCTAGGGAGGGAGTTGGGGCCCTCCAGGGCCAGGCTGACCCCCACATACCCCCAGGCCCACCCAGGGCAGGGCAGCCCCTCCAAGTCTCCCCAACAGGTGGCACCCCCAGGTGTGTCCCCCTCCCCAGTACAAGTCAGGAAGGACCCAGGGAGCCAAGTCCCCTCTCACTTACAAGGTCACCCTTGGGGCCACGGAACCCTTCTGGGCCCCTCTCGCCTCGGTCACCCTGGAAATGATGGGGGCAGGGTAGGGACAGAGTTAACACCACGGAGATGGTCAGAGGGTGGGGCTGGGGCCCTCCAGGAGATGGTCGGATGGTAGGGTGGGGACAGCTCTCCAGGAGTGGTCAGAGATGGCCAGAGGGATGATGGTGACCCCTCATTCCACGTCCAGAACCGGAAAGGAGGCGAATGTCCCACAAAGAATGGGTTTCATTGGTAAGCCGCCCCTACCCATGCCACAAGCCCTCCCAGGGTGTCCAGGGGACAGCTCAGCCACAGAAGGGGGGCCCCAGGGGGATGGGGGGGGTCTGAGAGGAGCCGAGGGAAGGAGAAAGAGGCCACGACGCATGGCACCCACATCCACCAACACACGTACCGCCTTCCCGGGTGCTCCTGGGATCCCAGGCGGCCCTCGGAACCCGATGGGACCCTACGGAGGAGAGGCAGATCTAGGGTCCTCTAGTCTAAGGCCTGGCCGGCATCCCCCCAACCACCCAGCTCCCTCAGGGTGGCCCAGACACGAGCAGCTCTTCCTCGAGGGCTCCTCAGCAAATTCCCCCAAGACGCCCCCCAGCAGTCCCCAAATCCCTCCTGCCCCTCTGCTCTGGCCTAAGCCCTCACAGCAGCCTGGCACCGCGTGTGGGGGTGTCAGCGTGCAGAGTTCATTAGCCCTCTCCTGGTACATGTGTGAGCAGCCCTCGCAGCAGCTTGGGACCGCGTGCGGGGGTCGGTGAGCGCTGACCATCAGCCCTCGCCCAGGCATACGCGGGAACAGGGGCTCAAAGCAAGGCGTGTGCCATGGCAGTGCCAGCCAGAGCCAGGGTGCCCGCTGCTTCCGAGCCTCACTCATCTTAAGTCTGGAGATGCAGATGACCAGGCCCCCAGCCACCTAGGGGCTGCAGGACTTACCCGGTCCCCAGGGGGCCCGAGCGGCCCTGGCAGTCCTCGTAATCCCCGGGGGCCCTGCAGGAGAGAGGCACAGATGCAGAGGCTGGCGCTGCACCCCCACCCCGGGGAGCCCGAGGGCCTCAGCTCTCGGGATATGGTGGAAGCCCTGGTGTCTTCCATGAGCCCTCAGCCTCAGCTCAGGTCCCCCAGAGGGAGGGGGCACCAGCCTTGAGATCAGCAGCCTTGGCAGAGGTGGGACCCCCACCAGCCCATGCTCCTGTACTTGGGTACTAGCTGACTGTCCCCCAGCCTGAGCTGGCTCCCTTGGAAGCAGAAATGTGCCGGGCTCGGTCATTCAGTGGGCCGAGTTCCCATCCCACCATCCTGCCCTTTCCAGACTCACCTGCAGCCCCACGCTGCCTGGGAGGCCGGCAGGCCCAGGGGGGCCGGGGTCACCCTGAAACAGAGAAATAGGTGGTCAGTGGTCCATTCTGGCTCTCCTAGTACCTTCTGGGGCCTCCAGTCACCCCACTCGAGCCCCAGCATCTGGGGGTGTTGGCCCCTTCACAGCTGGGCCTTGGAGGCTCTGTGAAGGGGTCACCTGCCCACAGCTCCAGAGAGGTTCCAAGTCTTGGTGGCCTCGCCCTGTCAGGGCTGCGTCCGTGGTCACTGTTCCCGTAAGTCCCCTCGGCCCCATCCAGGCCCCTCCTCAGGGCCAAACGGGACCCCTCTGATGTGCATATGGGGTCCCCTCCTTTGGTCAATCCAGCCATGCCAAAGGGCATCCCAGACCCGGTCCCCCTGCCTGCAGGTGACGACGGACAGACACCCTCCATGGACAGTGGCTACAGGTGAGAGGAGGCTTCAGGCTAAGGCCGGCCATCCTCACAGACGCCCCTCGCCCTGGTCACAGACACAAACCAGGGAGCTTCCACAGAGGGGCCAGTCAGGAGGGGTCTGTCCAGGGACCCTGCCCAAATCCCTGCTCTGACCAGCCAGGCCGTCTGGAAGACAGGCACATAGGTGCCCAGCCCAGGTGCATCCATTAAACAGCCCCTCCCCGGCCCCTCCCAGCCGCTGTGGGGCAGCTTTACCTTCTCTCCATCCTTGCCTACTTCCCCCTGTTCGCCTTTGTAGCCAGTGGGTCCCTGAAAGCAAACTCAGGGTCATTGCCCCACCCAGACCCCCAAGCACCCTCCCTGGCAGCACTGAAGTGAGGCCAGCAGGGCCAGGCAGCCCAGGACCCACCAGACGGCAGTGCACAGGACTGCTGGCCTGTGCCCTCCTGGGGAAATCGAGGCCTGAGAGGCGCTGGGACCCACCTGAGGGCGCTTGGCGGTCAGGAGCAGAGCAGGGCAGGGCTGGGGTGGGGGCTTGAGGCCAGCTCTCCCCCATACCCTCTCTCTGATGCCCATGGCCATTCCCAGCCTGGCCACACCCGTGTGTCACTGGGGTACAGAGGGCGGGTTAGGGAGGCCGGCCAGCTTCTTCTGGGGCAACCCTGGAAGCAGGGCCCAGCTTTCCGGACCTGCCGCCTCCACAGGTTCCCTGTCCATGGGAGCCCGGCTGCCTCCCACCCAGTGCAGGTGGGTGCTTGGGTCCCAGTCCCCCATGACTCACCTTGAACCCTGGCATTCCTGGGGGCCCTGGGGGGCCTGGCGGGCAGATACTCGGGCACTGTTGGAAAACAGAGCAGTCAGACCCCTCCTGGCCACGTGGAGCAGGACCTCCAACTTAGAGGTCAGCACCCAGGGACGCAGGAGGTCATTCCACGCTGGTGACAGCACCAGGACTGGACACAGACATGGTCTCCTTCAGCAGTGGCCAAGCGTGGTGGGGGCCACATGGAGCAGACCGTGGCAACCCCTGCAGCCGGCTCAGATTGCCCAGCCCCGCTCCGCAGGGGGCCTGGTGGTGCCTCAGGTAAGGCCCATCACAGGGCAGGAGTGGCTGGGCATGGGGCTTGTAGGAGGGTGAGCCCAGGCAACAGGCTTGATGCTCAGGAGACCCAGGGCTGGTTCTAGATGCCCCGCAGCTGCACTGCGCTGGCTGGGCCAACGAGCAGGCCTGTGTCTGCAGCCCCAGCTGACTCAGCCCACGGCCAGGGGTCCAGTCACTCCCCACCTTCTGAAAGATTCCCTAAAGCCTCCCTTCTGAGACACAGGCTGGCTAGGTGCCAGGGCCTGGGGTGGGGTGAGGAGAGAGCTGGTGGACAGCCGTCGGTGGTCAAGTCAGAGTGGGGCGGGCTTTTCCCCTCAAAGCCGTCAAACCTCTCTATCTATGAAAACAAGGTGTGGACTGCAACCACGGACACACAGACAGAAAGGTGAGATGGATCCATGGCCTCCCAAGTCCGTTTTCTTTCCTCTTTGTTTTTTTTTTGAGACAGGGTCTAGCTTGGTTGCCCAGACTGGAGGGCAGTGGCTTGATCATGGCCCACTGCAGCCTCCACCCCCTGGGCTCAAGTGATTCTCCCACCACAGCCACCCAAGTAGCTGGGACAACAGGCATGTCACCACGTCTGGCTACTTTAAAAGTTTTTTTGGGGCCGGGTGAGGTGGCTCACGCCTGTAATCCCAGCATTCTGGGAGGCTGAGGCAGGTGGATCACAATGTCAGGAGTTTGAGACCAGCCTGGCCAACAGAGTGAAACCCTGTCTCTACTAAAAATACAAAAAATTAGCCAGGCGTGGTGGCGAGCACCTGTAATCCCAGCTACTTGGGAGGCTGAGGCAGGAGAACTGCTCGAACCTGGGAGGCGGAGGTTGCAGTGAGCCAAGATTGTGCCACTGCACTCCAGCTCGGGTGCCAGTATGAGAATATGTCTCAAAGAAAAAAAAGTTTTTTGTAGAGACAAGGATCTCACTGTGTTGCCCAGGCTGCTCTCAGACTCCTGAGCTTAAGCCATCCTCCTGACGGGGCCTCCCAGAGTGCTGTATTTACAGGCATGAGCCACTGCGCCTGCCTGAGCCTGTTTTCTTTTTACTCAAATGACAAGGTTCAAAGATCGAGGTAAAGGTGGGTCCCAGACTCCAGTCCCTCACTGTGCCCAGGACTCTTCTGTCACCATCTGTGGACAAGGGCACCCTCTGCAGGGACGCTGCAGTGAAGGCACTGGGTGGCTCCATGGCATGACTGATTAATTACATTGGCAAAGCTCCATGTGCCCCGTGGCTCTCTGTGAGGGACAGTGCACATCTAGACAGTGGTGAGGAGGGTGGGAGGGGGAGGGGGGATGTCCCTGCTGCGCTCTCTGCCAGGTTGTGCCTGAGCTGTCTGCACTGAGCTCCCAACGATGGGAGTGCCCGGGCCCTGCCTTCTTGGCAGTATGGCCAAGTCCCTCTCTGGGCCAGACCCCTGCCCCCCAAGGGAGGCACCCCCCCAGCCCCCTTCACAAATTGCTGCAAGTGCCCACCTGGAGGTCAGCAGCGCCTTCAGGGAGGACTCCTGGGTGTCCCTAAAACACAGAGACAGCTGACATTCTCCCGCTAGCCCTGGCCACCTGCACCCACCCAACCCACCCACCCACTCTCTGACTGATCGCCACCTTCCCCACCGGTGAGGGGACTTGGAGACCCTTCACCCCATCCCCCAAGTGGCCAATGCTGGGTGCTGCTGGCCCACCTACAGGGCATGTGACAGTGACAGAATCCACTTGTCCTTGGGGCAGGGTGGCCATGGGGACCTGAGCCCTGACCATCCCCAAGTGGGCTGGCCTTGGGGGAGCCACAGCCACTTCCCCCACCCCTGACTGTTCCTGGGGATGGCCAAGTTAGGGTTAGGAGCTCTTGGAGGGGCAAGGAGTCTGAGTGGGGGCTTGGAGCCCGAGAGGGGAAATGGGGGTCCAACCCGGTACCCTAGTCCCTGCCTAGCACTTCTCAGCACCTCTGCCCAGTACTTACAGGGGGTCCGGGAGGTCCTGGGGGGCCAGGGAGGCCGGGGAGCCCAGAAGGTCCCTGGGGAGAGGGTATGACTTAGAGGGGACCAGCTGCCACCTGAGTGAGGTACCCGGTTTCTCCCAGGGAAGAGGACACACCCAACTCCCGCCAGCTCCCACTCCCACTCCCACGGCCGCTCCCACAGCCACTCCCACTCCCACGGCCACTCCCACGGCCACTCCCACTCCCACTCCCACTCCCACTTCACTCCCACGGCCACTCCCACTCCCACAGCCACTCCCATGGCCACTCCCACTCCCACAGCCACTCCCACGGCCACGGCCACTCCCACTCCCACTTCACTCCCACAGCCACTCCCACTCCCACAGCCACTCCCATGGCCACTCCCACTCCCACAGCCACTCCCACGGCCACTTCCACGGCCACTCCCACTCCCACAGCCTCTGTCATGTCTGCATCCTGAGGTTGGGTCTGGATCACTGGCCAGGGTTTCTAACAACACCCCCCAAGGTGGGAGATGGGGAGAAAGGGGAAGGGGAGGGGGAGGGGGGGCCCTGGCTGTTGAGTCTGGGGTATAGTGGAGGCCACAGGTGAGCCCACTCTGAGGGAGTCTGGGACAGCCACTCACCGGGGGGCCTCGGAGGCCGATCCCACCTGGGGGGCCACTCACTCCTGCCTCTCCCTGGAGGAAGGTAAAGAGAAGTGGGGAAGTCTGTATCAGGAGCCCTGAGGGTCCCCACCCAGGGTCAGTGTGCCGCCTCCCCAGGGAGGGGCTCCAGGTGTGGGGTGGTCAGATGCTGCCCCTGAGAAGCCCTGCCCACAGGCACAGTTTGGGACATCCCAGCCTGGCAGGCTCCGGGAACACGCATGCTTGCTCAGGCCCCAGGGGTTGCCAGTACTCACGGGGGGTCCAGGGAGGCCTTTGCCCTACAAAACCAAGCATGGAGTCAGAGCATGCCGGGCACAAGACAGGCTGCGCCTCCCCTCCCTAAGATGATTCAGGTGTGTCCCCGGGAAAGAGTGTTCCCAGGGATGGGTGTCTGTTCCCAGCCCAGAGACGGCTCTAGGACCAGTGCAGGCACCAGCCCCCAGAGAAGCTGCAGAGAAGAGGGCCAGCGATGGCCTCTGGGATTTCTGGAGGCCCCCTATTTAGGCCAGATTCTAGCTCCTCAAACTCCCACGGAAAGGAAAGGACCATACTCACCCCCAGCCCGGGTGGCCCCGGGGGTCCCAGGCTTCCCTGTGGGAGGAAAGCAGGCATCTAGGTTGGGCTCAGCCTCTATATGCAAACCCGTTCTCCTCCCTCTGAAGTGTGACCCCACAACACCAACACCCAGGCCAGCAGGGTCCAAGTCCCACTTCACAGAGGGGCAGGGCCTCTGAGCCCCCTTGACATCGAGGGTCCTTTGCTGTCCTGAGATGCTGCTGGAGACAAATGGCGCTAGAGTCCCTGCGCCCACTGCAAGAATGCGCAACCCGGGGCAGGTCTGAGATACACAGAAGTGACCCCAGGTGCCTGTCTCCAACAGGAAGCCCTCCCAATAACCCACCCACGCAGCCTGCTAGGTCCTCAGCCCTGCCCACGTCAGCAAGCCCCAGAGCCTTGGGCAGCCAGGCCCCGTCTGCCCTCCACGCCCTCTGGGCCCTGGCTGGGCCCAGCTGCCCGGAATCCCCGTTCCCTGGATGAGGAAGCACAGCCGGGCCCTGCGACGAGGCCGGAGCCCCTCCTGAAAGCCTGGCGATGAGCCCACCCCGACCCGGGCACCGGGAACTTGGCGGCCAGCAGCTACTGTCCCCTTCCTGTTTTCTGCTCAGAATGCACCTCCCAAGGGCAGGGCTGTGTCTTCGTGTCCCCGGCCCAGCCTTCCTGCCCTCTGTGATGCTCTGTGCCTGGGGCCAGTGGCACCCGTTGGCTGACGGCCACTTCTTATGAGGGCAGAAGAGAGAATGCTGGTGTCGGTTTTGTACTCAGAAGCCATGTGGGGAGAAGGGCATCCTTGGGCAGGGGTGCCGCTCAGTCAGGATGAAAAAACTGTGTCCAACGGGCAGGCACAGGGGACTCTGCAGGCTGTGTTCCCTGGGGGTCCCTGGTGGTGGTTTGCCCCGGGGCCCTGGGGGCTGCAGGAACACTCTGAGGAGGAGGGGGGCGCCTGGGGTGGGTCCCCCACACCATCCCCGTCCTCCTTGCCATAGTCTGGATGCAGGATAACCCTGATTGTATGTGGGGGTGGGCAGGAGGCAGGCACTGGGGGCTGGCCAGTTGACACCCTGCCTTCCACCCCTCTACCCCACTGCATGGGTGGGGCCTGGCCAGTCCCAGACGCGGCCACTGTCCTCAGAACCACCAGCTCTTTGGCCTTGTGAACACAGAATGGCCAGAGGTGGTGGGGGGACCTTACTTCTGAACTAAAGCCACAAGGATTGGTGCAGGCACTTACCCGTTCCCCAGGGGCACCCTTGGGTCCAGGGGGTCCATCTCTCCCGGTCAGACCCTGTGGAAAGAGGCAGAGGGCGAGCTTGAAGGGCCACAAGGGAAGTACCCGCCACCCCCAGGCAAAAATGGAACCATGAACCCTTCCCTTGGTGAGTTCAGAGAGGCACAGAAAACTTTGGGCTGGCATCTTCCTCTGTTGGCCCCAACCACTGTCTGCCGGGTGTCCCCAGAGGGCCTGGGAGGAGGAGGCAACTAGCGGGAAGCCAGCAACAGAGACACGTGCTGGAGTCAGGCCTTGGGGACCAATTCAGCAGGACATCCCAGGCCTGGCTTTAGGGGAACAAAGCTGCAGTGTCGGGGCCGGCCTGGGGGCCACGATGACAGAGCGAGGCCAGCCTGGGGCTCACAGGGGCCAGGCCAGCAGTGGGCAGAGGGGCCTGACAATGGGCACTGGCTCCTGAACAAGGAGGGCTGGCAGGACTTCCAGCTCCACTGTGGGCTGGCTCTGTCCTCTGCCAGATGCTGGTGATGTCTGGGATGAGGGCCAAAGGACCCCCGTTGGGGACTTCTGGAGACTTCTATCAGGACTGGGCTTCCCGCCTGAGCAGGCCCAGCTGGACAACAGCAATTAAGGCCGACTCCTCCAGGTCCCTGGTGGGGGGAGTAGGACAAGGGGAGGGGGCGGGCACACTCACGTCCACACCCGACAGTCCCGGCAGCCCAGCCTCTCCTGGTTTCCCCGGCTTTCCTGGGGCCCCCTTTGGTCCCTGTGCAGAAGGAAAAGGCAGAGGTGTGAGGGCTAGGTCTGGCCTGGAGCCTGGGCCTTCAGCAAGAAAGCAAAATGCTTTCCACCTCCCTGTGCCCGGCTACATGACATGGCCCCCTCTCCTCCTGCCGCCCGGCAGACCCCGCCCAGCTGGGTCACGTGTGTCCTGCTTGCCCACACCTTGCTGGCCCAGGAAGGCTGCCCGCCCCATCCCTCAGGGGCATCTGTAAGACCTTCTGGTCACCTCAGCCTCCCTGGCTAAGGGCCAGCAGGCATCTCTGTGGGACCCGCAGGGGACCCAGACAGGGCTCGGAGCCCCAGGACCCTCAATCCCTGGAGCTGAAGGTGGGAGGGCTCTGTGCAGCCTCAGGCCCGGGGGACCTGCAGGACGGTACCAGCTCCAGCCCTGGCCTGCCTGGCGCCGGCCCAAAGAAAGCTTCAAAGCCAGGCCCTGCCCAGAACATGCTGCGGCTGAGGCCACATGCTCCCCTCCTGCCTCCTGGCTCTGGGCCTGCTCCTGGCCCTCTGAGGCCTCCCCTCAGGCAACCCAGCCTCCGACAGGATGAGACAGGACATCAATGACCCCTCTGTTCCATGTCCCCTCTTCTCTCCAGACTGCAAAAAGGCTGATTCCCCAGCCAGGGACACTTACCGGGGGCCCGGGCAGACCCGGAGGACCGGCTTCTCCCTGTGAGTAAAGATGCCCACATGTGACCCTGAAAATGAGAGGTCCTCCAGAGCCCGCCTCAGGGAACGGAGCCTCGCTGGCCACCAAACCAGCCCCAGAGGCCCAGCCCAAGAAGACAAAAGGGGACCCTGAGCCCCTGATCCATACCTAGGGGGCAGCCACCCATGTATGGGGCAGCACCCGGCAAAGAGGTGACCTGGGCAGACAGGCTCAGCCCTCACAGCCACAGGGGCTGTGGGAACCACTTTGCAGATGTGGGGACACGGCCCCCAGGGGTGATGGGAATACATGGCAAATCCCCTCCCTCAGTGGCCTGGGTCTTTAGGAAGACGGCCTGGGTGCTGGGCGGCCTCTCGGTTCCGTCTGCAGCCTCTTCGGTCTCCTGAAGGTCCCCCAGCCCCCACCCTGTTGATGACCACCAGGCCTTTAACTGAGACTTCAAGACCAGATTTCAAGTGGGAGCTCTGGGGTCCAGGTACCTGGCCCAGGAGGAGCCCAGGGAGGCCAGGGCCCTGGGCCATGGGGGTTTGGGTCCACACAGCTGCCCTGAGCACAGCCCTGTGGCCAGGGAAGGAGGTCGTGGCCATTGAGGCTGAGCAGGGCAGAGAGGCTGAGGGTGGGTCACGGGGGACTCTCGGTGCAGCCCTCCACAGGAACCACACAGACAAGGACAGGCCCTGGGGGAACCCCTGTCCTGGGGGCGGTGGCCACATGGGGAGGTTCACTCCAGATAGTCCCTCAGAGGGAGGCACAGCTGTCAGGCTGCAGCTGCTGCCTCCCGATGCTTGGGCCACACCAGGCCTGAGACACCCATGGGGGACATCACCTCTGGGACGGAGTCAACTCCTGAGCCCCTCCATGGCTGGCTCCAGCATCCAGCATCCCCAGCAAGACCCCCTGCCCCTGTCTACCCAATTGATGTGGCCCCCCTCCGCCTGCCTCCATCCACTCCTCCCCACCTCAGCCCAGGGGCCAGAACCCAGAACCCAGGGGCATGGGCCCCTCAGGGACCCAGAGACACACACCTCAGTGCCGGCATTCTGGGTCGAGGACCACCACGTGACACCCTCCACCCCCAAGCAATCCCTGCAGGGCTGCCCCCATCCCATGAAGGTACTGGCTGCCTCCTGATGTCACCCTGGCTCTGGGAGGTGGGGCTTGGTTTTCTCTCCATCAGGCTCGGGAGCCCAGGGAGGCAGCGGCCAGAGCCAGAACCCCAGAGCGCTGGGGGCCCTCAGCACCCCCAAACTCACATCGATGCCATCCTGGCCGGGCTTTCCGGGTGGCCCTTGGGGGCCGGGGGGGCCTGGGAGTCCCACTTTCTGAAACGGAGAAAAGTCATCATGGACCGCGCTTCCTTCCGACCCAGCAGCTCCAGGGCCGCGACGACCCCCACTTTCCTCGGTGAGCCCCAAAGCCTCGGGTGGAGCCAGGTGCCCCGCGCAGAGTGCCCCCGCCTCCCTCGGGCCGCGGGAACAAAGGGCTCCTTGTGCTCCGAGCGGAGGCGGCGGCGCCGGCGGACCCGGGCCAGCGCGGACCCAGCGAGGACCCGGCCGGACGGTGCTCTCCCGAGGCGACCTGGGGCTCAACCCGACGCCGGGGACTCCGCGCCCCGACCAAGACACGGGCTGGGGGAGTGGAGGCTACGCCGGGCATCCTGGGGTGGCGGGTTCGGGGCTGGGGCAGTCCCGGGACCGCGCGGCTAGACGTCCTGCCTCAGAGTCCCGAGCCCCCGCTCACCTGTGCCCCAGTGGCTGCCAGGAGCTGCGCGAGCAGGAGCAGGAGCGGGGGCAGGAGCGGGGCGAGCGCGGGCGCCCGGGCCATGGCTGCGCGACGTCTGAGCGGCGGCGTCGGGGCTGGCAGAGTGCGGCGGGCGGGAGGCGGATGGGCGGGAGGTGGGCGGCCCCTTCCCCTTCCCCGCCCCCGTCCGCACAAGCCCCCCATTCAGCCGGGCCCACCTGGGCGGGTGGGGGCTCCCCCTTCCCCCTGCACCGTGCGGCCGCCGCGCCCAGCCCGACAAGGGGGAAAAGACGCCGGGCGGCGCGTTCCCTCCAGCCGCGGGTTAAAATTACCCGGGCCTGGCGCGCCGCACACTCGGAGCTTTGAGCAGGAGAGAAAGACGCTCTCTTCTCCCCTCGCGCGTCAGCCGGAGAGTGAGCGTGGGGTGGGGGCCGCGCTGAAGGGCTCCCTTCAGGAACGGGGGAGGAGGCGAGTTTCCGAAGCCGCAGACCCTCCCCGGCGCCAGCACGGCCCCAGGGCCCAGGAAGACCCGGGGAGGGTGAGTCCCGGTCCCGGCGCCGCCCCCGTTCCTGCTCCGGCCGCCGGTCTAGGGCTGCCCGCGGGGCTGGGGTCGGCGCCACCGTGGACCTGGACGGCCGGGTGCTCAGTCCACGTCAGCTGCCACTGGCTAAGGCCACACTCTCGCCCCAGACTCAGTCCCTGGAGAGAGCAGAGCGGCGACCCTGGCAGAGCGGCGACCCTGGCAGAGGGGAAGGGCACCTCCTCCCCGGGCTCGGGGGCCCACAGGAAAGGTGCTGGCCGATTCCATTTCCCACGAGCTCAGGGTCGCCAGGCCAGGCCAGCTCTGCCTCAGGCCGCCCTACAGGGGACTCCAATGTCCGAGTTGTCCCCAAGCTCCAGGAAGGCGTGGCATGGCAGCCCCTCCCCCAGGAGTCTTTACAATTCCCTAGAGAGGCTTCCTTTTGCAGGTGGGAACGCAGGACCGGGTGCGTCAGCCTGGCCAGAGCGAGGCCTCGTCTCCACCAAAAATCAAAACCTCGGCCGGGCAGTGGTGCTCGCCCGCAGTCCCAGCTACTCCAGAGGCTGAGGCAAGAGGATTGCTTGAGCCTAAGGTTGAGGCTGCAGTGAGCCAAGATGGCGCCTGCACTCCTGCCTGGGCAAGAGAGACCCTGTCTCAAAATTAATAATCAAGTATCAGCCGGGCGCGGTGGCTCATGCCTGTAATCCAGCACTTCGGGAGGCCGAGGTGGGCGGATCACGAGTTCAGAAGATGGAGACCGTCCTGGGCAACATGGTGAAATCCCGTCTCTACTAAAATACAAAAAAATTAGCCAGGTGTGGTGGCGAGCGCCTGTGGTCCCAGCTGCTCCAGAGGCTGAGGCAGGGGAATCGCTTGAACCCGGGAGGCTGAGGTTGCAGTGAGCCGAGATCGCGCCACTGCACTGCAGCCTGGGTGACAGAGCAAGACTCGGTCTCAAAAAAATATAATAATAATAAAGTGTCACTCTAATCTCTCCCGAGGTGACGTGAGTGGAGGGAGATTCTTCCTTCACTGCTGGGTGACATGGGTGGCTGGGAGGGGCGTGTGAATTCCATCAGGCGAGGTAGGAGGAGGTGAAAAGGCCCAGTCCTGAGGAGACCGGCACCTGGGACAGGTTTTCCCAACAGAGGACTTTTGACAAGGGGGAGGGGTGGGTGGAGCAGGTTGGCCCAGACAGCAGTGGGGCTTAGGGGCTCCTAGCAGCAGCCCCACCTAAGCCCAGGGTCCAGGGGACAGGATGAGCCTCTCTAGCAGTTCCACCTGGCAAGATGACCCTGTGGCCAGCCCCTCCTCAGTGCCTCTCCCTTGGCCCCGGCCCCTCAGTGCCTCTCCTTTGCCCATCCCCACGATGCCAAGCATGCGGGCAGCAAGGACTGCTACATGAACCAAATCAGACCACACACAGCTGGCCTTTACCTCAGGCCAAGAGAGCCACCTCGAGCCTGGGACACCTGCTTGGTGTTCCCCTGCACCACCTGCAAGCCCCTCAGCATACCACCCCCAGCTCCAGGCAAATCCAGGCAAAGGTGGGCGCTGTGAGAGCTGAGCCTCCCTGGGCTCACCTCTGAGTGGGGCAGAGCCACCTGCTGCCTGCCTGTTGGAGGCCATTGCTCTCCCTGAAGCCCGGGTTGGCTAGCCAGCAATGCCTGTGTCCCCAGGCAGCCACCGCCAGGCACCCGCTCCCCAGGGCTGCTCCAACTGGCTCCTGACTGCAGGCACCCTTCTCCACCCACCCCAGCCCCACAGCGGCCTGGACTGAGGATGCTGGATCAGCCGGGCACTGCCACAGTGACTGCATTTCTAGCCCCAAGTCCAGCGCACTGCCTCAGTTTCCCTCCGTGGCAGAAATCACCTCACTGAGCCACATTGGAGTTGAGGCAGCAGGGGTCCCACAGCTTCCCCACCCAGCGACAGGGCATTACTGAACCTGGGGTGTCTCCCTCCCAGTGCCTTCCGACTTGTGTATCTGCCACCACCAGATGGGAGCTGGGCACATTCCCTGAAGTGGTGCCCGGGTCCACAGCTTTAACCCTCCCACCCGGGGTGCCCAGGGGCGTCCCTATCCTCCACTGAGCAAAGGCAAGTGTCCAGCCCTTGGGGGAGCCCTGAGCCCTCCTCGAGGCCCCACAAAAACCCCTTACCACGCTGATAAATAAATGTAGGTGAACCGGGAAGGGTGGGGGTCCTGGCCCAGGTCGACAAGGCCAGACTGCAGGGAGGGGCTGCCCTGGGGTGCACCTGGCTCCACCAGACCTGAGGGAGCCAGGGAGCCCAAGTGAGGGTGCTGCCAGGCCTGCCTGAGGCACAGCACCGCACCCAGACCACAGCAGGCAGAAAGGCCTGGTCCAGACCCCACCGTGCCCAGCCACTGCCCCCAGCCCACCTCAGGGGAGTCCCCACTCAGCTTGGACAGGTGGCAGAGGCCGGCTGAGGGACCGTGGTCCCACCTTCAGCGGCTCTGGGAGGCTGCAGACTGCATGGCTGTGCATGCCTGGGCACCGTGTGGGGAGGCTGTGCCGCCGCTGTGCCCCCACAAGCACTGCTGGAGCCACGTGAGGCGGCAGCCGGGCCAGGCCACTGACATCGGCTGTGACACCAGCCCTGCCCGCCACCCACTGGGACCCCGGTCCATACCAAAGACTCAAAGTCAAACGAGTTTATTCAGAAAAGGCCTTGCTTGGCACGAGACTAAGAAAAGCAGCCCTGCCCACCCCACCCCAAAAGGGCCAATTTACAAAGACAGGGGTGCAGGGGAGAGCTGGGCGGGGAGGACACAGCCAGGCCAGGCGGCTTCTGCAGGCCATGGCCTTCCCTGAGGGCGGGGCCTTGCACCTGCTGGGGGCTGCTGCAGCGGCCACCACAGGACAGCACTGCAGGGTTGCTCCCGAGGCCATGCCGCCGCCGCCGGGATGGACATTCCTTTCCTTAAGGTTTCCCGGACGGGGAGGAAGGCCCCACCTGTGTGTCCTGCACCTCCGCTGCCTCCCCTGCCTCGGACGGCTCGTCTCCTGCAGGGCCTGCAGAGCCGGGGCCTGGGCCCTCTGATGGGTTCCCAGGGGCACCTTCTTCGGGCCCCGTTGTGCCTTCTGTGTCCTCCTCAACCCGGTTCTCAGTGTGTCCAGCTTCGGGGCACCCCGATGGGGCAGGGGACCTGGCAGGGGCCAAGGTCTGGGTGCCACCACTGTCCCCAGCACCCCCATCTACCTTCCTCCGCTTCCTCACCTTGTCAGCCACCCTGGCTTCCAGGGGTGGGGGGCAGGGCTGCAAGGCCTCCCCGGGATCCTGGCTGCCCACTTCCTGGGTCCCCGTCCTGAGGCTGCCCTGGCTGAGGGCACACCCCTCCAAGTTCAGAGCGATCTTCTCCACCTCCGAGGCAGTGTGCGCGCCTGGCTCTGCGGGGGGCTGCTCCCGCCGGCTCTGCTCCAGCTTCCTCTTCTTGCTCTCTTTGGGGCTGGGGGGCTCCGGCCCATCTTCCCTGTGGCCCCCTGCCTCATCCCCCTGGCTCCTCTCCAGGGGTCCCGCATCCTGGGGTTCCACGCTCAGTGGCTGGGGCCCCTCGTCCACCCTGTCCCCACCCTTGCTGTGCCCTGGCCCACAGGTCCGACCCTGGGTGCTGGCCTCGTGGTCAGGGTCCCCGGGGTTTCCTTCTTCCTCCGCCTTCCTGGGACCCTCGAGCAGACGGGGTGGGCAGCTAGGCTTGAACCTCTGCAGCTTGTCCCGGGGCCCCCAGACAAACTTGCTGCGGGGCCGGAAGTGCTCCCAGGCGAAGTGCACCAGCTCCCGGCGCTGGTGTCGGCAGCGCACAGCGAACATGAAGTAGTCCAGGGCGCTCTGCCGCACGCCTGGCAGCTCCCGCCGCACCAGCGTCTCCTCCAGAAAGAAGCGGGCCAGCGGCGCCTGGTAGTGCTCAAGGCCGAGCTCGCCCAGCGACTTGAGGATGCGTGTGATGCGGAGGTTGTTGTGGTTGTGCCTGTGGGGGCCGGCGCAGCAGAGGTCAACGGCCGGGGCCGCCCACCCAGCGGCACGGGGGTCTCCCTCCCCATTTGCCTCCCTGGGCCCAGGGGAGGACTCACGCCATCCCCGTGAAAATGGCCTGTAGGCCCTGGACACATGGGGGTGGGGCGGGATGCTGACACATCACCTAGAGTGTGGCTGTCCCCGAGGGCCCCTGGTGGGGAGGAGCTGGGTGGACGAGGGCCACAGGGGCCCCTCCAGGCCGCAGGGTCCTCGATCACCCATGAGAGCGGCTGTACTGCCTGCAGGTCCTCGATCACCCCTGCTTGCTTCTCTGTGTGGGCTGCCACCTCCCAGGCACAGGGATCGCCTTGTCTACCTTCCCACCAACCCTATGGGGAGGGACTGCTCAGCCCCCCAGGCAGCAGGGAGGGCTCAGAGCTTTGGTGGAGCTCTTCCTCCACAGCAGAAGGGCTCTGTGACCTGCCAGGACGTGGTCCTGTTCTGTGGGGGTGGGGGCAGGCAGGGGCAGGCAGGCCTCACCAGTTCAGGTTCTGGAAGCGCCTCTGGTAGTTCGGTGCTCGGCCCA